AAGTTTTTCCCAATGAAATTATTCTGTTTCTTGTACAAATATGGCTGAAGTTGAATTACACCTCTTTACAAAACTTGAATTTTCATTATATTGATATGCTGCGTTATGCATCTCGTGTGTAAATAAATAATATTAAAAAAACGGGGAGCCGCGCCATTCCTCCAGCGAGCTTTGTTCACTAAACTTTCCCCTTCATCATAAAAGAAAAAATCACACATTGAGAACATCAAAACAATTTTCAAGTACACTTTCAAAAAATCAATAAGAAATGGTTCAACTTGAAAATGAATCTTAATATGAGCGTTACATATATATATATAATCTTATCATCCAAACTCTGTCTCGTAACGTTCCAGCAAAAATTGCTGAAGCATACCCGATTTATGTATTTCATGAAGGCGTCTTATTCAAGCTGCTGTGGTAAGTGGAAGATTTCAGAGACCCACTAAGCTGGTGTGACCTATGTAGTTAAGATATTCTGCCCCCCTGTCAGCTTTTGTGACCTCTAGCCATATATTGAATTGCGGCCAACTATCGACAATTACAGATCTGCTAGCGATGAACCTCATGGAAAACCTTTTATCTTGTCACGGAAAGTCATCCTACTCTGGTTGGCTCAAAACTGACTACTTGTGTCCCCCCCTGCCACAGATTTCCCCTTTTAACTACTGGCTTTACCACTAATAGGATGAATTTGGAGCAGACTTTTTAGGTGAACCTATTTAAGTGAACAACTGTGAGTGACCACATTGTCTTTGCACAGCCGGATATCTGCGATACATACTTTAATTATCGATAGGAAATATACAAAGCTCTGAATGAAATAGTTTTGTTGCTGCCATTTCCTGTCAAGAGCTGTCTTGTAACTTTTGATAGCTCTTATTAAATCTTATCTGTGTGGTAACGTTAATAACGGCTAATAAACGAAGTCCAGAAAAAATATACGGACCAACAGGCGTAAAATAATAATGACCTCGAAGTTTCGAAAATTTAATGTCAGCGTACAGAAATGAGGCACGAGCTGCTCGAAGCTTGAAAGTAGAAATGAACTCAGACTTGATGTAGTTTGATGTTAGAAATAACAGTATTGTTGCAGCACTTAGCACTAATCATTCTTTGTGTTTAGAAATAGTTCTTGAATAAAACCAATGTTACCATTTAGTTCTTAACAATTATTAAGGTCTAGAGCAGTATGTCAGTCGTTTTCAGTTTAATGTTCTACTTATTGTATTTTCATTGAAATGATAAAAATAACTAATGATTTCCGGAATTTGAACCACACGTAACGAGTATTTCCATTACTTATTGAACCACACGTAACGAGTATTTCCATTACTTATTGGGCGGGGCTCGGACTGTTTACTGATGCAGGGCATCACACACTAACGCTAATTCGTAGCACGTAGCAATTCAGCATCGTCAGT